CCGCCTGCTCCTAGTGCGCGCCCCGCCTCCACTTCCCGCCACGCCCACCCAAAGCCACGCCCCTCCGACGCGCTCCTCTCCCAAAGTGCCTGAGCGCCTTCTGTCCCCAGGTCCTGTTTTTCTGCGGCCACCTGTCCCTGTGGTGAACACACATTTCCTTCCCAGGCTCTGTCTTCCTCTTGCAGTTCCCCAAACTGGGACCTAATGGCCCTGGCGAGGGGCAACTTTGCTAGGTTGCGGGGGCATCCGGGTCCAGGGTCTTCCTTGCTGAAATTCCGCCTTCTTAGGACTGGAGTGAAATCGGGTGAGGAGGGCATGCTCATTGCTGGAAACTGCTCGAATCATGCCAATGTCCAGCCTCCCAGGATTCGGGACTAGGTTTGGCCCTGTGAGTAACTTGCCAGGCTGTCCTGCTGGGAAGCTGCACTGAAGAGACCTCCCACCTCTGCTTTGGGTCCAGGGCGTGCCAGGCTTCCTAAAGCTAGGAGGGTCATTAAAAATGGTGAGATGGGGCAGCCGTCCAGTGGACGGGACATAGCCAAGGCGATATATCACTTAGTGTCTGAGCTGGAACCAAAAGCTGGGCCTTCTTACTGCTGCCCTAAGATTCCAGCCATGATTTTTGAGGGGACAGTGAACAGGGACTGAAAAAGGTGCCAGGAGGACCTCCCTGGCCTGGGAAGCAGTTCTCTGTAAGGGAGGGAGAGAGAAGCAGAGGGAGAGAGAAGGTGACAGGTGGAAGAGAGGGAGGGAGCCGGCCTGGATCCATGCAAGGCTCTCCTTGCAGCCAGGGTGCTCTGGAGCTGGCTAGTCCAAGAGAAAGGGGAATGGAGGTGACCACTATGGCAGATGCGGAGACCAGGAGACAGATTCACAGTCCCAAAGCCTGGAGTTGGGGTCCTTGGATGTAAGGAACCCCTTCAACCTTTGTATCCTCTGTGGGGTGGGGGCTAGCCACTGCTACTGTTTGCAGTCCTCCTGGAAAGCCCAGCCCCTAACACTGTATACAGCCGCCCCTCCCCACTTTTTATTTATTGCACGAATCTAAGTTATTCTCCCCAGCCAGAGCCCAGCTCTTGCTCCCTGGGAAGAGTGGCATGTGGCCCTGAGCTGGACTTTATATTTTATACCTGCAAATAAATCACATTTTATCTTATATTTAGAGAAAGCCAAGTGGCAATCACAAAAATATGTTTTTTAAAATTGCCCGGCCCCAGAACTTATTTATTTTCTGACTTACAGTGAGCATTGTCTGCCTTCTGTATTTTGTAGACTTTCTGAATAAAGTCAGGATCTCTTTTTCCATTGAGAAGTGTCCATCCTGGCCTGTTTTGTGTGTGTACTGAATAAGCGGCCTGAGATGGGGTGCTCAGGACCCTTTGGAGGGTGGGAGGGTAAGCCCCCATCGCTAGGTGTTGCTGGCTGATATGGGGCAGGAATAGAGGAGGGCAGTGCCAAAAATTTGTACCTTCCATCTAGAGCCTAGGAGCCTCCTTAGGGTAGTTCAACTCCTGGATTTTAGAGTTATCTTTCCAGCACTTTTATACCAAGGTCTGATTTTCTGATCAAGTCAGAATTTTTTCCCCAGTTCTGGAAAGCACAGGGAGGCATGGGGGGAAGTGGCTTCCTCAGTCCTAGCCTACAGGACTAATCTTACTCCTGGGCCTTATTCCAGGCCCATATTCCTGTCATCCCAATCTGCCAGGCCTCAGAGGCCCCTTGAGGCGGGTGGCCGGTGGTTGTGGGGTCAGCGGAATCAGAGTTTGACTCCAGGGTCTCTTTTCCTTACTGTGGAACTTGTGGTGCTTAATTGGGTTTCTTGTAGCCTCGGCTTATCCACCTACAAAGTGGAGGTGCTATCAGAAGATAGGCAGGAAAGCGCTGGGGCTTGAAGGTGAGGAGCTGCAGGTGTTCACGGTCACACAGGGCCCGGGTGAGGACCCTGTGTGTGGCTGGGTAGGGAGATGGTGGGGCTGGGGAAGCTGCAGAGTGTGGGAGAGGGCCAGACCACAAGGGCTTAACCGGGCCTGCGGAGCTCTCTTCCCCTCAGGCTGGGGCTCTGGTGGGTCCTAGATGTGTGAAATGCTGAGCCCAGGCCTGGGGCATGGGCAGCAGGAAGCCCTGGGAGGGACCAGTGGCTGTTACCTGGAGGTTACAGCCTGGCTGGGAATTTCCCCCACCCACACTGCATTCCTGAGAGCTCCTGTCAGCTGAGGCTGGGCCCCAGCAAGGAATGAGGGTGGAGGGAAGGTGCCTGTGGCCTAGGACCCCTGCCCCAACTTCCTGGCCTCAGGGTCCCAGGGTAGAGGCAAAGGGGAGCTTGGTATTCTGGAGGATCCCTGGAAGTCCTTGCAGAGGGGCTGCCAGTGACACTGGTTTCCCCCATGGCGTCCAGCCCTTATGACAACAAGAGGCTGAGCTCCTTGTGACCTGCCGGCTGGGGGAGGAGGTGACACTTTGCCCAATGGGGACCTGGATGCCGATTTCAGTTCCTGGCAATGTGACTCCCCTCCATCACCTAGATATCACACTCAGGAAGGACCAAGTGGACACCCCACCCGCCCAGGCGGAGGGGGCAGGAAAGAGGCAGGGACAGAAGCTCACCGCAGGCAGGGGGTTTCAGTACAATCTATATTATCTCATATATATATTTCTTCCTCACTTTATTTGCTCACTTCTGTCACGCATTTAAAATGTCACAGAGACCAAAATAGAGCGGCTTTTGGTGGAACTCATGGCAGTCATACGATGATACAAAACTAGGGACTCTGTCTTCTCATACATCATACAATTAATTTTCAAGTATTTTTATATACAAAGGGCTACTCTATCTGGAAAATAATAATAAAAAAAGACAAGGTAGGTTATGCATCCTAGGAAGGAGGAGGGGATGCAGCAGTTGGGAACACTTTCCCCATCCCTGTGTCCCCAGGGACTGCTAGTTCCTGCCACTTGGCTCCCAGCTCTACCCACCACGCTAGAGGACAAGCGTGCCAGAGCAGCCGAGGACAGAGGGGGCAGGAATCAGCAACACGCTTTGGCCTGGAAGGAGGGGCAATGTGTCAGGGAGGCAGACACGGGAGGGAGCCAGCGCCGCTCCTGGGACAGCCTGTGCCTGCCAGCTGCCGCCCACCCAGATGGGAGCCCAGGGCAGGCCTCTGGGCGGCACGGGAAGGAAGGAGGTCAGGAAGGTCGCTGGGATCAGCTATCCTACCTGGACCCTCCCCTAGATGCAAGGGCAGGAGCCTGTTCATTCCAGGAGTGACCAAAAGAGCTTCTGGCAAGTGCCACCAGACAGGGGACCCTGCTCCCTCACCGGATCTAGGCTACTCAACTCCAGACCCAAGTATTGCCTGGGTTTCAAGCAACAGAACACCCTGCTACACGAACGTGCACTACGCCACGAGGCTCTTCCTAAGACTGGCTGGCAAAAGCCCAGCCTGCCTGGGGACTTCAGCCCTGGATACACGGGTGTGGAGGGCAAGGACAGGAACTGGTGGTCCCTGGTCACTCCTAAGGCCTGTTAAGGGCACATGGCCCAGCACTGCAGGATCCTGAGTGCCAGCAGCTTAGTAAGGAGTCCCCAGGGGGTATCTGGGGCAGATGCAGGCTGAGGAGGGGGCTTTTATATGTGACTAAGGCACAGAAGAGATGGGCTGGGGGCCAGATGAGGCAGAACACCAGGCCCTGTGTGGACAGAGGGCCCTGGAGAGGAGTCTGGGACACCCTCCACCTCCTGGCTCCCTGCTGCACGGCCATCCCCACTGTCCTCCCCCAGGAGCTGGTCCGAAATGTGGGGACACAGACCTTTCTCCTGAATGGGAGGGAGAAGCCCAGGGGAGAGGCTCAGCAAAGGCTCTGACTGCTCCGTCTGGGGGTAGGACTGGAAGCCCGACTTGTGAACAGCCAGGCAGCTGGCTCTGCCCCAACGCCTTCAAGAGAAGGACCAAGTGAGAGGGCAGTGCAGGCTGCTGGCTGCCTCAAAGGGCCAGGAGGTGGGCAGAAGGCGGCCTTGGCGAGGACACCTGGGGCCCAGAGGCCCCCTGCTTCACCAGAAGGGCTCCGAGGCACCAGAGCACCCTTCCTAGAGGTCCCCTGGTGTCTGGCTCTGATCCTTGCAGCACGCCAGGCAGGCCTGGGTCAGGAGGGACAGCCACAGAATGTCCACGTTCCCTCCTCCTGCCCAGGTTGAGGCAATCTAGCATTGGACAGGGTGGACACAGGGGGAAGCAGGCGGGAGGAGCCTGGGAAGAGCCTTCCCTAGGCAGGGAGGAGCAGGCAGGCAGGGAAGAGCATGGCGTGGGGGGGGGGGCACGACCTCAGCATGAGCTCCTCCTGCAGGAAGGCCTGGGAGGCTGCAGCCATGGCCCACACACAAGCACTTAGGCCTGGGCATGGCTGGTCCAGGTGCCTCCGCCACAGGACGGGCAGCAGGGGTGTGGGAGCTCTCCCAGTGTCCTCTGCCCTGGCCCGGGCAGGCAGGATTAGCCATGTATAAATATTCCTAAAGGCTCACGGGAGAGCCTGGGATGTCCCCAGACAGAGGGTGTCTGGCTGTTCCTCTGAAAGCGATATGTGTTTCTGGTCCAATAAATAAGGGCAACACCGAAGCTGTGTGGCCTCCTGGCCCCATGGTGAGGCTGGAGGAGGACATGGCCCGCCCTTGCCCAGGTGCGGGTCCCTCCCCGCAGTGCCACACCTAGAACTCGTCGTCAGAGCTGAGCAGGAGGGTCTTCTCGTTGTCGCGGGCTCCACTGAGGCTATGGGAGCGCGAGAGGCTGTGGGCGCCGCTGCGCCAGGTGGGCCCGGGCTCCAGAGTGGACTGCTGCGTGTACTGCTGGTAGGCGGGAGAGAAGTTGTGGATGGCGTCCTGCACGATGTCGTGTGGGTTCATGGTCTCCTTGAGGCTGCTGGAGATGCTCTTCATGGGGGCGCAGCGGCCTGAGGGAGGAGGCAGGAGGTAGGGTGAGGGTGGGCCCCTGCCCCGACCCTGCAACAGACCCCCGACCCAGGCTGTCATCCAATCATTCCCTCTTGAACCAAGAACGGGTCCAAGACATGAGAAAGGACAGGCAAGAAGCAAACTCCGCTGCCCAGAGGGCAGGAGCAGCCAGGGCATCCTGTGGGCTGGCCTCCTGCCAGAGGGCAAAGTGACACTCCGTTTGGGGAAGCCAGGGCGGGCAGGAAGGGACGCCAATAGAGACTGGCGAGCTGCAGGCAGGAGCCTGGAATGCCCCCGGCTCCGTGGTGCCAGGCCCACGCCCTGCCCCGGGACTGTTCCTCTGTGGGGAGGGGACCAGGCTGGCCGCTGGCTTCCCCCTAGAGAGGATATGCTTCTTCCTAATCCCCTCTAATGATGCGTTCCCTCAGGCTCAGAGGGGAGAAATGGCCCAGGCCACAGGCACAAGTGAACAACCCAACTCTGGGCCCAGAATCAGACCCCAGTCTCCCCACCCCCCATGTCCTCTGCCATGAAAACGGCACTGAAGGCCCTGCTGCCCTAGCAGGGGGCCCTGTGCCCCAGAACCACATAGGGCATGTTCCAGAACAATGGGAGATGAGACAAACGCAGGTGGAGGGGCCTCGGCAGGCAGGTGCTGGGGCTCTCCCACCTTAGGGGTGCCTGCAGGGAGGAGAAGGGGACACAGAGGAGCTACAGAGAGGCATGCTGGTGACAGTGACCAGAAGTGACGTGCAGGACAGACGTGCAGACAAGAGTGGGACCTACCGTAAGGGCCATATGTTGGCACTGCCCACGGCCAAACCCAAGGCAAATGCAAGGCAAAGGGGCAGGGCGAGAAGCCGGAGGCAGAGAAGACAAGAGAGCTCAGTGAGCACTGCGCCCACCCCGGCGCTTGGCCCACCCCCTCCCGGGCACCTCAGCGGCTCGCACTACCCCCACCCCCAAGGCCTGAGGGGACATCTGCCCAGGGATGATTCTTCCTATGGTGCTCACACTCACAGAGGTCACCCCAGCTAGAGGTGTCCCCTGTTCCACCTTTTCTCAGGCTTGGCCAGAGCCACCTCTGCATGGAGTGGCCATTTCTCACACCTCAAGGCTCAGCAGAGCTGGCCTTCACCCTAGGGTGACAGGGGCTGGGCACCTCAGAGGCTGGGCCAGGAGCCTTTGGCCATGGGCCCTGGGCCTAGGCCAGAGGGAGGCAAGCTTGGCCAGCAGCAGCTGTCCCTGGCCTGGCAGTACAGCCAGTCAGGCTACTGCTGGCTGGGGTGGGTGTGTCTGAGGGGACAGCCAGTGCAGGATGCCCAGCTGGCGGTAGGAAGCCTCTGCAGAGCCCGAGGCATGGAAAGGGCTCTCCACTACAGCCCTGCCTGCTCTGGGGACAGTCCCAGGTCCCAGGTCCCAGGCCCCAGGCCCCAGGCCCCAGGTAACATTCCCACGGATATGGGCTCTGCCAGACCAGGTCCAAGGGACAAGGCCCTCAGTGCTGGGTGGGCATCTGTAAGATCCTCCCCACTTTGGGGGTAAAAATGGGGGTCTGGAGGGGAAACAGGTGGGGACCTCCCAGTTGGCAGAGAGTTGGACAGTGTGACCCAAGACTGAAGAGTGACTGAGAGCACAGCGGCAGGAGTGCCCGCAGGACAAAGTCCAGCAGAGGAGTTTCACTGCTCTTTCCAAGCAGGGCAGCCACGGGGAGGCCTGGGCTGAGGCTCCCTCTCCTCACCCTGCCACCTCCTCCTTCTCCTGGAACAGGTCCCCATCCTCCCAGCCCACTGCTTATCCAGTCACCAAGGAGCTCTAAGGCAAGGGCTGCCCAGACAGAGTGTGGGGCGGGCACGGGTTAGAGGGCTCCAGACCTTCCTGGCACAGGGGGTGAGTCTGCTACCACCTTCCAACTAGGAGACCAGCAGGTGTAAAGAGAAAGCTGTCAGACCTCACACCACCGGTTTCTTAGGAGTGAGCACAGTATTTTGTTTTTAAAGAAATTTAAAGAGGTCTGTAATCCCAGTGGCCCAGGAGCCAGCCTCAGCAAAAAGCCAGGTGCTAAGTAACTCAGTGAGATCCTGTCTCTAAATAAAATACAAAAAATAGGACTGGGGATGTGGCTCAGTGGTAGAGTGCCCCTGCGTTCAATCCCTGGTACCCCCACCCCAACCAAAAAAAGAAAAAAAAATTTAAAGAGGACAGAAGTGGAGGACAACAGAGAAGCAAGGCCTGGTCATCGGGAGCCTGGGGATCTGCCTATTCAGTCTCCTGCCAGACTTTCCCGTCATCCCTGTGTCCACACTGGGACCTACTCCAAGGGACAGGTGAGCTTAGCTTCCGGGACCATACCAGTAGTGCCAGCGATGGGGAGGGGTCTCTCCTGGCCCTGCCATCCCCTCTCCCCAACCTCTGAGGCCCTTCTCCCACTGGGGTTCGCCCCTGCAGGGCACTGGAGGATGGCAGGTGCTCTGGAACTCTGTTCCCCCCACTAGAGTCACCCCAGACCCTGGCTCCTTCCCCCCACTAGAGTCACCCCCAGTCCCTGGCTCCTACCTTGAGCGTCCAGCCTCTTGTCAGCATAGGCCTTGTAGGTGAAGGCGTGTCGCAACGCCAGGGCCGCGAAGAACATCTCCACGCAGATGATGAAGTCCTGGTAGCCAGCGGCCACGGTGCCCTCGCCCACCGACACGCGGGCCGAGTGGATCTTGGGGATGGCGCCACACTTTTCCAGGATGGCCAGCAGCATGCCTGAGGGGAGGCGCCACCCGGCCCGTAAGGACTTCCAGGCCCCTCTCCCACGCACCCCCAGACACCCTCAGGCCCACTGTGGTGGTAAGGGAGCACGGCTGCAGGACAGGGTTGGTGACACAAAGCCAAGGCCTCCAGAAAGTCACTCTCCCAGCTCCTTGCCTAAAAGAGGTGACTGGGACTTCAATTACATGGGATCCCTGGGGTCCTCCATCCGTGAATTAGCTCTGCCGGCGCTTCCCAAAGCTTCTCTGAAAAGCCCTGGAGGGTGCAGAGAGTGCCCCATGGGCCAGGCTCCCCGAGTCCCAGGCTGGGACCACCTAAGACAGCCCTGTGGCCTGAGCTCCACGCCCTGGGACCCAGTCGCAGGGAGGGTGGAAGGGGCTCCGAGGCAGGGGCCTCACGAGGCTGCAGGGAGCTGACCTTGCCAGAAGGAGAGGAAGATGACGGACTTGACCATGAAGAACTTGAGCACAGGGCTGTAGGGGCTGAGCAGCTCCCGGGTGGCGAAGTAGAAGAGGAAGAGGGCGTAGAGGGCCAGGCTGACCGAGATGTTGTAGATGATGGTCACATACAGGTAGCCGCTGGTGACGCTGCAGAGTGGGCACATTCTGGTTGGGACCAACCTGCCCTGGCACACGTGACCCCCGCACCCTTCCCCAGAGTGCAGTGAGCTGCAGGAGGGAGGGATGGCAGTCAAGGGCACGCATCCCAAGTGGACAGGGCTGTGCGCCCACGGTGCAGGTCGGCCTGCTCCCTCTGTTGTGCCGTGCTGTCCCAGCTCTGGGCCCACTGCTGGGACACACTGGCAGGAAAACCAGAGTCAGGCTGGAGGCTACAGATTGACAGCCAGTCAGTGGTGTCCAAGTGGTTGACCCCAAGCTTGCTGTATGACCAGGGTACAGCTCTGAGCCCAGTTCGCTCACCTGCCTGGGTGGGGCTGTGGTGGGTCACGGGCAGTATGTGTGAAGCCTGGCGAGCACAGGGCCACCTTCACTGCCCCACATGACACCTGGGGCTCGAGCTGGTCCCTCGGGCTCTTCCCCTCACCCCCACCTTAAGAGGGCTCACTGGCCTTCGCGGCTCCGCCTGGGGAAGCCATGCAGCCTTGCGAGGACATAACTGAGTGGCAGGCTCACTCCTCGGCCAGCGTCAGGCCAAGTTCAAGGGGGGCACTGCCAGGCCTGGGCTCAGAGCAGCCCTGGAAACCCAGGAAGGGCACAGCCACCCTGCTAGCCCAGGGCACTGGCCTTCCTCCCACACACCCGGAGGGATGACCCACTGCTTACTCGAAGTCCCCGTCCCGGTACTTGCCGAAGGCCTGGAGGATGACGGTGCTGACGGCCATCAGCGGCTTCACCACGCAGAACTGCAGCGTGGCCTGTGGGGAGAGAAAGGAGGCAGCGAACAGTGAGTGTGCCAGACTCCTCCTCGGGCAGGCCTGTGCTGAACACTGGGGGGGCACACGGGTCCCCAAGGGGACTGCTGGCTATAGGAGCAGAATAAGCAAGAGACAATGACAACCCAAGGAGACCCTGTGAGGAGACAGGCGTGGGGAAGGCAGACCAGGGGAGCCCCAGCAACGATGAGGGACCATCAGGAAGGTGGCCAGCGACAACAGGGGCAGCTCCATACCAGGCAGAGGGAGCAGCGCATGCACAAGCCCAGGGCAGAGTGGACAAGCGCAGGGACGAGTTCTGGGGAGAGGAGGCAGGGGCAGGGGCTGGGACGGGAGCTCTAGAGCTCCTGGCTGGTTCCCTGCCCGACACTGGGCCCAAGGTTTCTGTCAGGCTGGGCGGGTGGTGGCCTGCGGGGCAGCAGGTGAGGAAACGGCTGCCCAGACGTGGGCTCTGGAGTCCGAAGGCCGAGTCCGTGCAGGCCAGGCTGACTGCTTGCTGCAGTGGCAGACCTGACCTAGTGCTGCCTCCCTGTGACAAGGGAGGTGACCAGCCCCACAATCCAGGGTCACTGCTGGGGAGTGGGGGTCTTCTTGGAGGGTTCCCCTCCAGGGGGCTCAGCAGAGGACTCTGGGAGTGCCTCCCCAGAGCTCGGCAGCACCCTCTGCAGGCTTCCACAACTCTCACACAGGCCACAGACCCAGGGGACCACTGTACCCCAGAACCACGAGAATCACCAGTCTCCTGGGAGCAAGTCAGCTCAAGTATGGGGCCCCTCGTGGAGGTGGCTGGAGCTCTGGTCATCAAGACTGTGCTAGGGAGGCGTCAAGTGGTACAAGGAGCTGGGGCAGCATGAGCCGCTGCAGAACCCACTCCTGTCCCCAGGACCCGTTCCAGTCTGAGGGGCCCCGGGCGGCTCGCACTGGGGCTGCCCAGCAGAGCGCAGGTGACCCTGATGGCAGAGCTGTCAGAAAACCCCACAGAACTCTTCTGGCCCTGAACCTGGCCTAGAGGAAGTGGGACCCACACCCTTTGGGGAAAGGGGAGAGCGGTTCCCACCAAATGTGCGTGGGGAGCTGCTGGGTGGTGCCTCCCTGTGATGTGAGACCACAGCATCGCCTGTCACAGAAGGGAAACTGAGGCACAGAGCAGCTGGCGTGGCCACAAAAGCACTGGAAACTGAGTCGGCAGGCCCAGAGCCACTGCCCAACCACACCTGGGTCCGGGCAGATTCCCAGGCCAGGCTGGACATCGCAGTCACCAGGAAGCCCGCAACACAGGCCAGGCCGGCACCACTACACACCTGTCCCGTGGCAGGGGTGGCTGGTGGTCTGGAAATCTACTTTTGGCAGGCACTCGAGAAGAATCAGACACTGGGCTGTTGCTAGGCGCTCAGGCCCCCTCGCAGCTCTGGGTGTGAGACGGGGACCAGAGGCTTCACCATTCTTTCTCATCCTACCTCTCCTACCTCCTCCAGGAGGAGAGCGGAGCATCTGAGCACACAGGCTGGGGAACCATTCACAACATGCTGTGGACGACAGAACTTCAAACGAGGCTGAGTCACAGCTGGGCCTGGGCCTGGGCAGCTGAACCTGCTGTAAACAGCCGGAACACCCCACCCAGGCCGGCAGCTCTGCTCCTTCCCTGCAGCCTAATGGTGAGAATCTGGTTTCAGAAACACCCTGGGGAAGGAAGGCCTGGAAGCTGAGCTGCACACTTGGCTTGACAGGTGGAAGCTTTGAGGTATGCCACGCTGGGCCTGGACCCTGCACAGAAGCGAGCAGAAGGGCCAGCCCTCAGGCAGGACGCGATGACTCGGCCGTGGGGTTCATTTTCCCTGTGGAGACGAGGGCCAAGCCAATGAAGACTGGATGTGTCACCCCAGGTTCTACCTCTCTGAATGAGCCAGTACTATGGTAAAGGCAGACCCGTCACCTCACCTGTTCCTTACCATCACCCCTGGAGATAAGTGTTGTTATGTCTACTTTACAGAGGAGCAAACTAAAGCACAGAGAGGTTAAGTAAATTATCTGAGGTCTCACAGTCTGAGGAGAAGCTGGAAGTCAAACGTGAGCAGTTAGAGACCTGGGCCTACCCCTGAAGGACACCACCACATGTCTCCCTCCAGGCCACTCTGGGCCACAGGGAGGGCAGTGAGAAAACCGGAAGTCACTGGACAGGGGAGAGAGAAGGGAGCCACTCGGGTCTGTCTGTCATGTGTCTTTAATGCCAATATCCTCCAGAGCCAGCCACAGTGGATGAGTTTTCAAACTGAGATTCTACAGCCCATGTACTTTCTCTGAGTCTCACACATCAAGACTTGGTCAAAATGAGCAAGAGTTTGAGACCGACCCCCTGCTCTTATCCAGAGCTGTTCCAGAAAAACCCCAGGATACAGGTCACTGTCCATCTGAGCACATGCTACTCACCTGGTGCCTCCCAAACAGGTTAGGGCTAGAGTTGGGCACCTGGCAGGACCCCGCAGGTGGGGCCCAGGGCAGCCTATAGCAGGGGCCTCCCTCCAGGGCACAGGCCTGGCTTCTGGTCCCCAGCCCACTCCTCCTGACCCAGGCGGCTGCCACACACACACCTGTTTGCAGAACCGCAGGAATCCAATGGAGTAGGTCTTTCCCCAGAGGCAGCAAGTGCCATACATACAGCTGGACCTGGGAGAGAGAAGCACAGAAGGGGCTGGTGAGCAGGGAAAGGTGGGGCTGGGCAGCCATCCTCCCCGCCATCAGACAAGCTGGGGGCACGGAGCTGGGGCAGCACAAACCCAAGGGAGAGCACAGCTCAGCCTCTGCAGGAGCAGCAGGTGGTGAGGGAAGAGGGCTGTCTGGGCCCTTAGCTGAGAAACCAACTCAGGAAGCACAGAATTAAAACCACCAGAGACAGACAGGAAAGGAAGGGTGACAGGAAGAGAAGAGAACGAGCCACGAGACCTTCCCAAGAGTCCTAAGGAAGGGGCTTGCTCAGGAGAGTGGGAGAGATGTCTGTGTCCAGCTGGCAGCAGGACAGCCTGAAGAAGCTGGCCCAGGTGCGGGGCTCCAGGGAGACTCTACTCACTCAATGGGCTTCCCTCGGATCTCCGCCATGATGGAGCTCTCTCCCCCGAGGTATTCATAGCACAGGCTCAGGAAGTTATAGATGACCAAGGCTGCGGAGAGTGTCCAGAGAAACCACTCAGCCCAGCAGAGCGGGCAGGCAGCTGGTGAAATTTACACAGCAACCGAAAACGAAAGAGCCACAGCCAACAGGGAGAAGCCGTGGGACACGAGGCTGCCCACGAGGCCGCAGGTTGGCACCGTCTAAATGGGAGAGCCTAAAATTGGGTGCCATTTAGCCCCAGTGTCTCAGTGGCACCTACACTGTGGTAATACCCCAAAGAAAGTCACAGAGCGACAACCATAACTCCAGGATGGCACAGGGAGCCAAGGGCGGGTGCCGAAGGGCTGAGGGCTGGTGTGTGTACATTCTGGGCAAAATGGCGTCTCTCGCTAGTTATCTACTAGTTTGGTTCACCAGTCTATTTGTGTGTCACACTTTTACAACACAACGCTGCTGGGATCTCAAGAGATACTGTAAACAAAGAGGGAGAGGAGAACCTCCATGTGGCCACGTGCCCGGGTGGCCTGATGCGTGCCCAGCTCTGCACTCTCTGACTGCACAGGACAGCTGCGCAGGCGACAGGGCACAACCTGGGAAGCTTGGTAGGCTCCTTCTGAAGTGGGACTCAGCGCAACGTCACCACAGAGACCTGAAATCTTCATGGGTGAGCGATGGCCTGGGAAAAGTAGGTGGAATTGTGCGGCCGCAGACAGAGCGGTGTGCGGCCAGGGCTCTCAGGTGTGCCTCACTGGAAGGAGAGCAGGAGGAGGAGCCGCGGGCCCTGCAGAGGGCACCACCAAGGGAAGGCACCCAGAAAAGCAATGAGGACGGCAGCAGCCAAGACCTAGGGCATGGGGCAAGAGGACAAGGGCAGCCAGAGGGCTCCTGCCCATTTGGCCCCATCACCTCTGCAGCACAGTCCCTGAGGCCCCCTGTGCCACGCGGGATCCCTGCGGCTCCCACACTTCCCAGTAGCACTGAATGCCATTCTCACCCCAGAGCAGGTCCTCACCCTCTGGCATCTTTGTGCTCTCAGCTCCCACTGCCCGGTGGGGGCGCTTCCTCTCTGCACTCCTAGGACCCTGACCCCAGCTCTGAAGTCTCTGGGGACCATCATGGAGTCTCACACTCCCCCACTGAACTGAATCAGCAGACACTTCCCAGAATTTCCCACAGTGGGCATAACACCCACCCACTGGCACAGGTCACTCCTAAGATGGCTCATAGCACAGGTCAGTCCCGAGACGGCTCGTGGCACTGTGCAACCAAAGCTGTTGATGCTGTGACCAAACACTGCAGTTCTACACAGGATGCCATGTCACTTAAAAATGGTATGCAGGGTTAGGGTGCAGCCGAGCATGCGCCTAGCACACTTGAGGCCCTGGGTTGATCCCCAGCTCCAGGAAAAAAAAAATCTGTTTTCCTGAGAAGATACAAGACCTAGCCACACATAATCAGGCCATGCCCCATGGCTGATAATATGGAAAATAAATTCATGTCTCAATGTTGAAAGAAAGAAAAAGAGAGAGAGAAAGTAAGTCACCAATCAGCCTCACAGGTCATGACTCCCGAAAGGGGGCGTCCTTGCTCAGGATGCAGGCTCAATGCTTAGCACACACCAGGTGTGGAAGAAACACTCACCTGCCTTGACTAAGGCACAGAAAACCCTGGCGATATGTTTTTAGGCAGAAGTCCTTCAGCAAGTCAGAAAGGAGTGTATTTGGGGCCCTTTATCCAGGGCTCCAGACTCCAAGCAGCACTCTGCATAGACACAGCCCACAGCACTAACCTTAGTGTGACTGTCCCTCTTCCCACACAGAGCAGAGGGCTTGCAGCTCGGATGGAACTCAGTTTCCACCTGCCAAGTTCCATGCTGAGTGGTCCCCAGGGCCCAGCTGTGGAGCGCGTCCTCTGGCAGGCTAGAAAGCCCACCTCCCCCAAGGGGGACCCTCAAGACAAGCCACAGGGACCTGGGGTCATCTGGCCCCTCCCAGGCAAGGCCGTCCCTGCAATCTGCTCCTGAGAGGAGCTTGGCATGAGCTCAGGTCCCTTCCTGTGTCATGAGGGGCATGAGCACCCTCCTGAGGCCAGGGTGGGGCCACCTGATCATGGCCAGCCCTGCACACAGCCGGTCAGAGTCAACGAATTTCATACATCTCTTAGTTCAAGCTTCTTGACCTTTTAAAGGTGCTCCAGGGCCAGCTGGTCTGTAAAACACCAATTTGCTGACAATTTCCTTTAAAGAATCATTAGTGACTCAATAACAGACTCACTGATTCTTGGAGAAAGGAGACCATACAATTTCCTTGGATATGACTCAACCAACTCAAACCAAGGCCTGCTACCATCTGGACAAACCCAGCCCCTTCGTAGGAAATAACGGAACTGCACAGAACGCCATCCCCAACGTTCCAGAAACAGTGCCTAAAATGGACCCTCCACGAACATTCCAGAAACAACAAGCAATCCAGTGGCCTGGACACGAGAGAGACTCAACCAGGAACAAAGTACTCAGCAGCAGGCTTGTCGCCCATCCTCCTGCAGACCACGGTTCCAATTCTGGCCCCTGGAGAGGTTCCCAAGTTACAAAATGGCCCCGTGCTTCCCTAATTACCCACCAGAGCCCTGCACAGGCTCTGTGCAAGGCCCTGAAACCTGTCGGCGACAAGAGACCCGCAGGTCAGGCCTGTTTTTCCTCTCTCCTTTTCTGGGCCATCAACTGCAAATTTCTGCTCCATTCTAGCCAGCAAATCCTGAGCTAGAGACAAATGCGATCAGAAGAGAAGGACCAGGACAGAGATGAAACAAGGGCTGGACTGGGGTCTTGAGGACTGGAGAGAAGACGAAGGGTCTTTCTCTTCATGTAAACGACAAGCACCCAGCCACCAGGCCAAACAGGCTTTACATGGCCCCAGGGCAGATCCCAGGTGGTCTTCAGCTTAATGGGGAATTTTTTTTCTTTTTTTTTTGTACAGGGTTTGAACCAGGGGTGCTTTACTAGTGAGCTGCATCCCCAGACTGTTTTAGTTTTTATTTTGAGAGCTTTGGCCAATAGGAGCATGCATCAGAGGCGGGGGTCCCTCGGTACAGACAGTAAACAGGGTCCCTTCCAACTTCAAAATCCAAGACTTCCTGTTTTCACAGCAGCTTCTCAAGCCTGGAGAAGCCTGGACAGGAAGTCGTAGCCCAAGAGAACACTGTGCTCCCAGCTGGAGACCCTGCTGACCAACAGCTCAACAGGGAGAATCGGAACCGCTAGGAAGCACCCTTCAGGCTTTTCTGCCAGCAGCTGCAGGCACGTCCGGCCAATCACTCAGTGAATACTTGCGAGCAACACTGGGTGCCATGCACTGTGTGCCCACCTGATGGCCCTGGGCACGCTGGGCCACTGCAGGCTAACTTCCTCTGCACCCCTTCAGCACTCACAGCTGGCCTCAGGCTCAGCTGTCTCTGCTGCACAGAACACTGGGGATCTGGACAGCCATGGGGCCCGCCAGGTTCCAGACCCTGGAAGACGAGCCTGAAAGACTGCATCTTCGACACTGTGGACAGACACCTCTGCTGAGTACACGGGGCCTCGAGCCCTTCTTTACCCCGTTCAGTGGCAGGTGACTGATACAGGCAATGGTAGGTAGGTACAGTGTGCCACCCACAGCAGGCAAGGGACCTGCCCTTATGCACGTGCCCTGACTCTGCACCACTCCAACAGTGCTTCTCACCACCCCCAGTGCTATGTCTGGCCTCTCTCTTCCAGATTCCTCTGAATGGCTTCCTCTACCCAGATCCGCTGCATTCTTGTCCTTCTCGGCTTCATCAGCCGTCAGCCATGGCCAGCTGGAGCTACTACCAAGCAGTGTCCTCTGGCAGCAAACCAACCCTTGGCTTTGGGGGCCTGCACTTGAGGCCCCCAGCTGTTCAGCGGCTGTACTCTCTCTACCTGGGAGATGGCTCGCTTGGGCCAGACACCAGAAGCTCTGTTTGTCTCAAGTCTGAAACAGAGTGAATGGAGCACCATGCTCTATCTGTTCCTCTCACACATGTAAAATCTCTTTGCCTATTGATCGGATTATGTCACGTGCCCTGTTCAAATATGGCAAAATGAATCCTAATCTGTATAATTATAAGGCACTAATAAGAAAATTTGGAAAAGTAGTAAAAAAATAAAATAAATAAAAATTTCTTTCCCTACCAAGAGTTCCTACTTCTCTAGGAACTGGGGCAGACTACCTATGCTACCAATTTGAGGTTCACAGACAACATCCCCACCTCCTCCCGCAAAGCACAGGGAAATGAGAACAAGGGGCGAGGCAGACCTGTAAGGAGAAGGAGATGGCAATGGTGGCCACTAGTGACAGACATCAACAGAAGCTCTGGATGATGTGTTGAGGTCATTGACCTGGGCAGGGGAGGAGCCAGGAACTTCACAAAACAGCCCTGGGCACGTGAGCAGCTCTGGGGCTGTGGAGAGGGAACCTGGAAAGCGCTCCAGGTCCCCAGGGAGCTACTGAATGCCACTTTCTAGAGGGACTGAGACAGAACTTGGCCCGACTGAGGTCAGTAATGGGGAGACGTGCAGAAGAGGACAACTAAGGCTGGACAAGAAGGCTGAGGAGCCCCAAAGGTCCTTCTCTGCACCCATAACTTCTCTCCTGTTTCCTTCCAAGCAGTAAGAGTAGCCTTTTCTGGGGAAACAAGCCCAGAATCAAAAGCCTGCACGTGCCAACTGCCCTACTGCTGCATAAGAAAGGCACGTGGTCTGCCACCCCATCGGGAGGCCCAGCAATTAGATGATTCATTCTCAATTCAAAAAATAGCCAAGACACGAGGTATCTGAGGAGAGCTTCTAACCAGATGAAAGAACTCAGGAGACAGAGGTGATGCAGGAGCAGCAGGAAACTGCAACTGACATCCCCAGAGAGAGCAGAGGAACACTCTGTCTCATGCCAGGAACAGGGGCCTCTAAAAGAGAATAGAGAAGAAAGTGGACGTGGTGGTGCGCGCCTGTAATCCCAGCCTCTCCAGAGGCTGAGGCAGGAGGATCATGAGTTCAAAGCCAGCCTCAGCAATTTAGACAGGTCCTAAGCAACTCAGCAAGAGCCTGTCTCAAAATAAAAAGGGCTGGGATGTAGCTCAGTGGTAAAGTGCCCTTGGGTTCAATCCCCTAGACCAAAACAAAAACATAAACAGAAGCTAAAATACGCCTTCAAAATTCAAAGACACAATGATTTCCAACTCTTTTTTTTTCTTTTCCATACTGGGGATTGAACCCAGGGCCCTCTACCACTGAGCTACAACCCCAGCACTATCTATCTATCTTTTTATTTTTGAGGCAGGGTCTCCCTAAATTTCCAAGATTGGCCTTGAACTTGAGATCTTCCTGTCTCAGCCTACCGAGTAGCTGGGATCACAAGGAGTGCATCATCACGCCCAGCTCCAATCTAACATTGTATTCCTTGCACATTGAACACACAAAAATATAATAAAGATACTCTCAGATTTCAAAAAAGAGAACTCCCAAGTGTCCTCTTCCTCAGGAAGCTCGAAGAGGATGCGTTCAAATCAGAGAACAAACCAATAAGGGAAAAATGCATCCAGGGAACAGGTGACACAGCACAGAAGCAAACACATGTCCCAGGAAGATGGGGAGTGATGGCATCAGGGCAGCACTAAGCAGTGGAAGCCGGAGGGTGAGCAGTCCACCCACAGCAGAGGGAGCAATGCAGCTAGGAAAGGCCGGAGCTCACAGGTTCCCATGCCTAACAAGCCCAACAATGTACAGGGCCAGGGCTGATCTTTAAAAATTCAATGGGTGCACTTGGGAATAAGTGGATAGCAGACACAGAACACTGAGCAAACTAAGAAGCAGGACAAATAGTCCCCAAAGGAAACCCCCCCCAAACAAATTGAGATACATAATGATGCAATGCAGAAGTTAAAAAAAAATCACAATAGGGCTGGGCTGTAGCTCAGCTGGTAGAGTGCTTGCCTGGCATGCACAAGGCCTGGGTTCAAACCCCAACACCACAAAAAGAAGAAAAAAAAAATCACAAGAGTCATTTTGAAAGGTGAGGGTAAGCAAAGTGCATGTGCACATGTGTGTGGGGGTGCAGGGTCGCCTGCAGCAAGACCGTCCACAGAGCAGGGCACTACCAACACCACAGCCAGCTGGAAACCAAGAAACAAGACACTGTTAGGTCATTCTAGAACAAAACAGTTGAAAACGCTGTAAACCTGAAGTGTGGAGCTGATGAGGCAGTTTTGAGTTTCAACCACATGCATGTACTTTAACAAAAATAACTTCTTAACGTATGTTTTTTTTGTTGTTGTTTGGTTGGTTTTTTTTTTTAATATTTTATTTTTTAGTTTTTGGCAGACACAACATCTTTGTTTGTATGTGGTGCTGAGGATCGAACCCGGGCCACAAGCATGCCATACGAGGGTGCTACCGCTTGAGCCACATCCCCAGCCCTGTTTGGGGTTTTGTTTTGTTTTGTTTTGTTGGTATCAGGGATTGAACTCAGGGGCACTCAACCACTGAGCCACATCCCCAGCCCTATTTTGAATTTTATTTAGAACTTGAGAGTTGCTCAGCACCTTGCTTGGCATGATTTTAATCGGCTTTTTGTTTTGTTTTGAGGCTACTGTCTGTGATGCCCAGACCTCGCATGGGCTGGCTGGGGTAAGGGTTCTCTGGCTCAGGCCCCTTGCAGGCCTTGGGGTACCGAGGAGAGGGTGTGGAAGGGGGAAGGTAAACAAGTGGGAGGCCTAAGTTTCAAGGGGTAGCTACACAGACAGAGAGACGGGGCAGGGAAAGACCTGTGTGGAGGTGCGGGAGGGACAGGTAGGCCAGGCCAGGCCCACTGGTTCAGACTCCAAGAGCTGGTCAAGTCCAGGGCAGCTGCCTGCTGTGGAAGGCTCCTGGGAGAGCCCAGGCAGGAGCAGTAGTGTTGCTAGGAGATGGCTGAACAGGGGACAGGCTTCCAGGGCTTCTTGGGCTAGGAGGCGGGCCAGGGCAGGCAGCAGGGTTGGGGCATGGGGGACAGGGACAAAGAGGCTGCTGGAGTGGGGTGTCCACAGACCATCTGCCACCGCCTCTGGGGCACAGAGCAAGGGCCAAGCAGAGGTTCTCTGACTGTGCCCCTGTCTTCTGCTAAACACCCCATCTTCAGGGCCAGCCAGGAAGGGGGTCTAGTCTCACTAGTCCCCCTTGGCAGGAACAGCCTTTTGCTTCTGAGGGAACCGGGTGGGCAAAGGCTGTCCAGGGCACCCATGTGAACCTGGCACCTAAAGGGAAAAGGACTCTCGGCCCTGCCCCAGTCCCAGAGGTTCCCCTGGGGACTCCAAGAACAACAGGTGCCACAGCTAGAGCCCTAGTCCAGCTGCGGACAGGCCCCCGCATGCCTTCGCATTCTCTCCTGGAAGCACGGGGCAGGAGCACTGCGAATCAGAGAGGCCCCACCAGTTAATAAAGTCCCTTCTTTGTTCAAAAGTTACGAGGTGGGCTGGGGGTGTCGCTCAGTGGCAGAGCGCATGCTTAGCGTGGGGGAGGCCCTCGGTTCCATCTCAGCACCAATGCAAAATAGTTCTTTTATAACACTTCCCATGTGCGTGGCTCCACCTGGCCTGGGCCACACACCTGACTGAGCCTGCTTTCCTGGGGCTGGGTCTCCTGAGGCAGAAAATGAACAAGGACTGCGACCTGTGTGGCCGAGGAGGGCAGTCGGGATGCTGGCAGCGTGCAGCATGGGAGCCTCTCCAGCTGAACCACTGGGGAGCAAATAAGGCAAGAGGGGCAGGCCACAGGGGGGTGGGGAACGGGTTCCCAGGTGCCAGGGAAATGGCACAGGGACAGAAAACCCCTGATGCGTTCTTGCTAGAAAAGAGGCCAATGTGGCTGCAAAGGAGGGGACGAGGGCAGGCATGGAGGTGGAGGGGGACGCAGCAGGGAGGGTGCCTCCATTTCCTTGCCAAATTCAAAGGCATTTCCATGTCCTATGAGCCCTGGGATTCACAAGGCTCCACGTGGGACAGGAGGAGAGACTCCAGCTGCTTGGGGTTGAGCGTGCTACACCCCAACATTCAAGAGCCCAGTCACAGCAAGACTTCCAGGGTCAGCAAAGCAAGCAGCTGCCGGGCATGGCTGGACCCGCTCAGCCTGCATACACGGGAACCACCCCTGCCTGCTCGCCCCAAGCCAGCGGGCAGAGACAGGGAGCCCTCTGCACAGCCCAGGAGGGTAGGCAGCAGGCGCCAGAGCAGGTATCTTGAACTTGGAGCGCTCTTTCCCTCCCTGCTGGTCTGCTCACGGCCAGGTCTGGGCCCACCGGACCATGACCTGTCTTGGGGCCTCTGGACTTTCCCTCCTCACCACCTCCATGTGAGTGTTCTAACCTGAAATCTCCAAGTGTCATGGTTTTAAACTTCTCTGTAGCCTGCAGGGTGGGCCCCACCTCTGTCCCTACTCCCAGCACAATCTCTCTCCAGCCACTCACCTCTCTCTGGTCACGATCAACCCCTTGCACACGCCCACCCCCTATGACCTCCTGGTCTGGTCAGACAACTCCTCTCTTCCAGGGATAGCAACCTGCTTGTCTCTTTGTTGTGACTACTTAGGGGCCACCGACTCCAGAGGGCCAGGAGGGTGAGGGCTGGCTTTCCTCCTCACAACCCAGAGCTTGGCCCACGGCTGAGGTCAATGCCGGAGGCATAGAACCAAGGCCCACAACAGGAAGTGCATCAGAGCCTCTCATGGGACAAAGTCCTCCAAAGTAAGACATATGGGGATGGAGGACCAGCTGTGCCACCAACTTGCCCTAGATAACTGTACCTGGGGTGGTCTGAGGCCTCTATGCACAGAGGACCCCCCAGGGCCGCCTGCCCCACTGGAGATGTCAGACCTGAGAAGAGAGACGCAGGCGAGGCCCCAGCTCCAGGCAGCCACCCAGGTTCTGGGAGCCCCGCAGCAAAGTGCACAGTGTGCTGCCACCTATGCGTTGACCACGTGCTGACCCCAAAGTGGGTAAGGAAGCAAGAGGTGAGTCAAGCCAGTCCTCACGAGGGCCAGGGCCCCTCAGAGAGGCCCCAGCAGGCCCACCAGCTCCCAGCCTGTCTGAAGCCCTCCCTCCTGCCCCTGCCCTCCTGCTGCCCTCACCCTCGTAGCAGTCACGGATGGTGCCGAAGTACACGTAGTACTGGTCGTTGGTGAAGAACAGGAGGCTGAGCCAGGAGTCGAAGGCGTAGATGGGGACGATGAAGAGGATGCGCACGATGTAGCGCTGCTCGTTGGGGCGGCTATAGCAGCGCAGGTGCATGTAGATCTGCAGGCAGAAGCACAGGGTTGGCCGAGACCCCTCTGTCACCATGTCCTTCCCTCCGCCCGCCCTTTTGTCCTGCTCCTTGGGAGAAGGCACCTGACAGGGGGACAGGAACATGTCTCACTTCCGGCTCTGCCCTTACTCCTTTTATGGCCTGACTCAGTCACTGACTCAGAGCCTCAGAGGCTCTGTAAATGCGGGTGACAAAACATCCATTGTATGAATCACGCCACAGGGGCTGCATGAAGCTGTCAGGAAACATCCAGAGGGGCTCGCAGGCCAGGCTTCCAGATGGAGGGGACTGTGAGGCCACACCCAGGAGCACAGCAGCATTAAGGACAAGGCCAGAACCCCCAGCCCTGCAAGCTCCCTGGGGTGCTCTCTGAGGGGTGCTCCCCACCCCTCCACCTTCCCCAGAGCCTGGCCTCTGGGGTCTCCCAGCAGCAGCACTGAGCCATCTGGCTGTGGCCACCCTGCTCTGTCCCTTAACTGATGGCGGAGAGGGCGGGGCAGAGGCAGCCCCTGTAGGGGACGTGGGCATGCTTCCCCGCTGATGGGCCACAGCACAGGCTCACAGTGCCCCGCCTCCAAACTGAGGCACTTTGCCGCCAGCAGTTAGCTGAATGAAAACGGGAGGTCAAAGCTGCCGCAGAGGCTGAGAATCACCCAGCCCAGCCTGCAGCCCCTATAGCCCCTGAGATCTTATCCCAGCTCTTGTGACATCACTCTTGGCCCAACTGAGTCCTGGCTGAGGAGGAAAAGAAAATTGCCTTAGATGCGCAGGGTTTGAAAGGGACAGTTACAGAGGAGCTGACAGAGGAGCTGCCCTCTCACTGAGCAGCTGCCAACCTCCTCCCAGCTGCCCAGGCCCTGCCGGCCCACACCAGCCCCTCTGGGGCCAAGGGCACAAGAAATAGGAGACTTAACTTCTTTCCCTGTCCTCCCACCAACTTGGGCTGCTCTTGGGCTCTGAAGCTTCTCCTCTGCAAGGGGTCCCTGCATTGCAACTCCCTGTAGCTTAGGCTGGACACAAGACCAGTCCAGCCAGTGACAGGTGAGCAGAAGTGACAGCAATGGCCATGACCCCTCTGTGTCATTTCTGGGTTGAGGTGGTCAAGTACCCAGGTGCCTCCCACACCCCGTCTCCCTGGTGGTCGGAAGAACGAAGCCTTGAAGCCCGCTGATGCTCGAGCCACAAAAGCCAACCTGACCGGTACTCAGCTGAGCCGGACATGAGCAGGAAACTAGCTCTACCAGGGGAGGTGTCGAGAATTTAGGGTTACCAGGCTCCTCTAGCCTGGCATGCCTACCCCAGCCATATCTTGTTAAGACTAGAAACCCTTCAGGATCCTTCTTGAGGGGCCCAGACAGACTGTGTACCTGGTGGCAGGTGATGAGCAGGGCCGTCCACACGAAGAAGCCAGAGATGGCCTGAGCAGCGGTGGTCATCAGGAACACAGGCTGTTCCATGGCTGTGGGGCTCCCCTCGGGGGTCACAGAGACGCTGGGTGAAGCTGCTGCAGTTGTAGGCAACGCTGGACCTGGGGCCAGCGCAGCCCCCCTTACTGTCATGGTGCCCACCAGCAGGAGGCTCTCTAAGAGAAACCCTGGGAGTGGGGACAGCTAGCCTGGAGAGAAGAGATCCCAGGTGAGTGGCGGCATTGGAAAGAGTCCTCCAGGCCCTATGCCACCTCTGTGAGCCACCCTAACCCCAATCGTTGCTACAGCCCCAGCTCTGCCCTTGTCTACAGTCCAGGCCACACAGCAGTCTTGTGAGCCTTGAGACCTTAGCCAGACCAGGCCCTTCTTCTGCCAAAACTCTCCCACAGCTCCCAGCTCCTGGACTAAGCGGATGTCCTCACTGGCCACAGAATACCCTGAGGACCTGCCAGACCCCTCTGATCTCAGCTACTACAATTCCCACCCCGACAGATGCCCAGCTACACGGACCCCTTGAACACACCACCCCTGCTCCTGTCGCCGGGCCTGTGCAATGGCCCCTTCCTCTGCCCGGCCACATGGCTCACGTCACCCTTCCTTCAGGCCTCTACCTTGACCACCGGCTCCAACATGGCCCTCCCCCAATGGCACACATGACCCCGCTGCTTTATTTTTTTCCAGGACACTCAAAATATCTGACTCTGTCTAACCAACTATATTTACTCATGTTACCTATTAGCTGTCACCACTGTCCCCAAATAGAATGCAAGCTCGCTGAGGGCACAGGCTCTGTTCTGCAGCACTTGGAATAGAGGCGGGCAACAGAGCACTCTGTAAGCACCTGCTGGACACAGTAAAATCACTTTATTGATCAGGTCACCTCCTTAAAGGGCCTGCATTTTTTCTTTACCATTTCTCCTCAATTTTCTTAATAGCTGACACCCATTCTTCACCCCCCAAACTGTGCCGTTGTGGTAACTTTATGCCTTCTCCCAATTTCTGCACCTTCAAACTGCTTTTTTTTTTTTTTCCCCAATGCTGGGGATGGAACCCAGTGCCTCACACACTGCAGGCAAATGCCCGGCCCTGAGCCCCACCCAACCTCTAAACTGCTCACCTTGTAACTCTGCTCCTGAAGCTCCCTTCCTAGAAGCCTGCCCTGTGCACTTTCTCCCACTAGACCCTTCTATCCATCTCACGTGCCCTTACTGTTCTCTGCCAGAAGTGGTTCCATCTTTTAGTCACCCACTTACCCTCCTGCCTACTATGAGCCCCCAGAACTGAGCACTGAATGTAGCACCCAGGCTATTGATGCTGAATTTTTATTATTTTTTAAAATTTATTTATTTATTTTAATTAGGTAGATGTGACAGCAGACTGCATTTTGATTCACTGTACACAATTGCAGCACAACTTTACATTTCTATGGTTGCACACAATGTAGCGTCACAACACATGTGTAGTCTTACATGTACCTAGAGCTATTTATGTAAATTTATTTTGGTACTGGAAATGGAACCCAGGGGTCTTTTACCACTGAGTCACATCCCCAGCCCTTTTTATTTTTTATTTTGAGACAGGGTCTCACTAAGTTATTCTAGCTCACCTTGAACTCATGATCCTCCTGCTTCAGCCTCCCAAGTCACTGAGATGACAGGTGTGCACCACCACATCCTGCTGCTATTCACTTTTACTATTTACTGGTTTTCATTTCTTATTTCAAAAGGAATTTGAGATGCCTCACAGAGAAAGCAAAGAATAACAAAGGATTATGGAGAGTGGCACCAAGAAAATCCTGGATGGGAAAGGGAAGCTGAAGGTATGGGACACAAGGAGGCTTCTCAGTAGAAGAAATGTCTTTCTAGAAAGAAAACAGGTCCTAGGCAGAGCGTCTAGTGTGACTTTAGTGTCCCTGGTAATAAATAAACAATTTCACATTAAAAAATAACCCAAAGAGGGCTGGGGATATAGCTCAGTTGATAGAGTGCTTGCCTGGCATGCATAAGGCCCTGGGTTCAATCCCCAGCACCACACACACACACACACACACACACACACACACACACACACACACACACAGCTTGGCACAGTGGCGCATGGCTATAATACTAGCAGCTTTGGGAGGCTGAGGCAGGAGGATCATGAATTCAAAGCCAGCCTCAGCAAAAAAGAGGCACTAAGCAACTCAGTGACACCCTGTCTCAAAATGAAAAATAAGGGGTGGGGTTGTGGCTCAGTGGTAGAGAACTTGCCCAGCATGTGTGAGGCACTGGATTTGGTTCTCAGCACCACATATAGAGAAATGAATAAGGGCTGGGGCTGCGCTCAGTGGAAGAGCATTCGTCTAGCATGTGCGAGGTGCTGGGTTCGATCCTCAGCACCACATAAAAATAAATAAATAAAATAAAGGTATAAAAAAAAATCACATCAATCTTTTTAAAAAAGAAATAAATAAAATAAAGGTTCATCAACAACTAAACTAAATGGTTCATCAACAAATAAATTAAAAATAACAAAAGGGCTGGGGATATGGCACAGTGGAAAGCGCCGCTGGGTTCAATCCCCAGTACCTACCCCCACACAAAAAAGAAATAAAATAAAAAATTCCAAGAGAGACACTGCCCTCTGCCCTTGAGGACATGGTGAGGAAAGCAGATGGGGGTCCTCACCAGACACAGAATCTGCCAAGGCTTCATCCTGCACTTCCCAGACTCTGGAAATGGGGAAAACAGGATAGCGTATGGCCTTCTGTAGTGTTGCCCCCTGGAGACAGGCTGGTCAGTGCTTCCAGTGACCTGGAAACCTAACTACTAACCATGAACCCAAGGACAGCTGAGGAAATCCAGGAACAAAGCAGAGAGGCTGCTGTGGAAGGAGCCTGGACGGAGCAAGGATCCCAGCTCCCACCTGCCCTGGTGCAGGTTCACGGGGCCCCAGAGGATCTGCTGCAGGACCAGGGCATCCCCAAGCCCAGGACTCAATCAGCATTTTGACCTGAACCCCAAGTCATCCTTCCAGGGTCCCTTCCAAGTCCACAAGCTGATATCCAACCAGAACACAGTGACACCAGGAGGGTTCCCTGGCTCTCCCAGTGTGCCAGCACCGGGCCTGACCATGCGACCCAGAGGCTCCCTGGCCTGCTGCTCACTCACCTCCTGCCTGGGCCTGGCTTCTCGCCAGGGTCTCCAGCATCCTCTGCCTCCATAAGCCACTGGCTCCTGCTCTGAACGGGCACCCACACAGAGCCCTCGCATTCCTATTTTCTTACATAGAAATGTCCCTAACACACCGACTAAGAACTGATTAAAAACTCAAAACTGGAGAAGGCATCTATATTAAGAAACTCAAAAATGGAGGTGTCTATATAAAGACTGGTGGCAAGTTCTTAAAAAAAAAAAAAAGACAGTGACAATCTAATAATAGCTCTGTAAGCATGGCTGCTAGGTTGAGAACCAGTGCCAGAAATGTTTCCTCAAAAAGATTTGGGTTGTAAATCACCACATTTGTCTATCGTTGCAAATTAAATGAATAAACATGGGAAATGGAGGAGCAGGGAAGCCAAGATACCCCTAACCCTTCACATTTTCCCAAATGTCATCTCAGGTGTCTTTTCCCAGCCCTCTGAGTAAGTAGCATTATCTACATTTTGAAGATAAGGGAAGAGATGCAGAATTTAGTTTTGCAGTGGTCCCCAGTAGCACCAAATGATCCCAGGGCTTTTATAGTAACCCCAAAATACTTAGAGCAAGATCCTGGCTCACAGTCGCAAGGCCCAGTGTCCGTGAGTGGCCAGTGCTGGCACCTCTTCAAGGCGGGGGTGGCTTTGCTCCCTGGACCCACAGCAGCACACAGAGTCTGCTCTGGGCTAGGCCCTGCAGACTGCCCAGCGTGTGCTGGACGGGACAGGAATAGACACTGGGGCCCAATCCTTTCATACTTGGGGAGGAACCTCCCTGGAAAGGGGCTCTTGTCTCCCCACACCCAGCCCCAGGCCTTGGAAAGCAAAGATAACTGTGCCCGGTGCAGCCGGCTCCTGTGCTCCCCTGGTGAAGGGGGCCCTCCATGGCTCCCCTTTCTCGGTGCAGTCTATGGACCCCAAGATGGGGGGATACAAGAGATCTAGAAGGGCCTCTTTCTATTTTTTCTTCCAGGACCCAGATTGAACCCAGGGGTACTCTATCATCGAGTTACATCTCCAGCCCTTTTTAATTCTACTTTGAGAGAGGGTTTTACTAAGTTGCTGAGGCAGGCTCAAACTTGTGATCCTCCTGCCTCAGCCTTCTGAGTGACTGGGAGTTGTTAGATCACAGGCGTGGACCATAGACACCACACCAACTCCCATTATTTTCTCAATTGATCACACCATAACTTCTGCCTAGAGCAGGCAGAGGCCCTGATGCAAGATGCTGAATACATGTTGTGAGGCTGCTGGATTCCTGCTGAGCACAGCAGACCTAGCCTCAGCAGTGGAGGCTCACAGCCACTCTGCTCGCACTAAAGGACAGGGGTACCTGGAGACCCTACCCCTCTGCACTGATGAGAAATGAGAACCCTGGCCTGCTGGCCTGGCCCAGTGATGGGAACTTTGGGGCCGGGTCTTTTGCAGCATAACCAAGTGAACTCCCTGAAGTCACGGACGGAATTCCTACCAGACCTTGCCGTCTGCGAGTTTGCTCAAGTGACTTCCTTCGAAGCCTTAGTTTCCCCCATCTATAATATTCCAGGATAAGTCACAATTGACAGGGAAAGTCCCAGGTTACAGAAGTCCTATTAATAAATGCAGACAGACCAACAGAAAAAAAGTGACTATTTTGTAATTCCTAATACAAATAATGATATAACTTGATGATAAAACTAGAGGCAGACGCAGTGGCGCACACCCGTAATCCCAGCAGCTGGAGAAGCTGAGGCATGAAGATCACGAGTTCAAAGCCAGCCTCAGCAACTTAGTGAGGTCCAGAGCAATTTGGCAAGTCCCTGTCTCAAAATAAAATATAAAAAGAGCTGGGAAGGGGCTGGGGATGTGGCTCAAGCGGTAGCGCGCTCGCCTGGCATGCGTGCGGCCCGGGTTCGATCCCCAGCACCACATACCAACAACGATGTTGTGTCTGCCGAGAACTAAGAAATAAATATTAAAAAATTCCTCTATCTCTCTCTCTCTCTCCCCTCTCTCACTCTCTCTTTAAAAAAAAAAAAAAAAGAGCTGGGAAGTGGCTCAGTGGTTAAGCACCCCGTGGGCGCAATGGCGTACACCTGTAATCCCGGCAGCTTGGGAGGCTGAGGCAGGACCGTGAGTTCAAATCCAGCCTCAGCAAAAGTGAGGCACTAAGCAACTCAGTGAGACCCTGTCTCTAAATAAAATACAAATAGGGCTGGGGATGTGGGTCAGTGGTCCAGTGCCCTTGAGTTCAATCCCTGATACAAAAAAAAAAAAAAAAAAAAAGGAGGTGCAGTGAAGTGTTGATGGAAAACCTGGCAATGCACAGATCAAGCCGTGGGCACAGGGCAACATCAGTACCACTAACATGAGGCAGCCCCCCATCCCAAGGCTCCCAGAGGGATATACTGTGAGCATGAGGCCCCACCCTTGGCAGGACGTGTGGCCTGTGTGAGGTGGAATCTAGCCAAGCCTCCAGAACTAACCACCAATATCCAGGAAAAAGAGACAGAGGAACAGCATTCATGACATCATGAAAAGCAATGGCCATCCTGGACAGTGGGACAGTCCATGGGACAAGTGGCCTGGGCTCTAAACAATTTAGTGGCTTAAAAACAAAGGTGGAATGGGCATGGTGGCACACGCCTGTAATCCCAGCTGCTCAGGAGACTAAGGCAGGAGGATCATGAGTTCAAAGCCAGGCTCAGCAATTGAGGGAGGCCCTTAGCAATTGAGTAAGACCCTGTCTTTAAATAAATAAAATACAAAAAAGGGCTGGGGATGTGGCTCAGTGGTTAAGTGCCCCTGGGTTCAAACCCCAGTATCAAAAAAATGATAGTTGAGGGGCAATTATAGGAGATTAGAAAATGGGCGGAATACATGAGCTGACACTTTGTGGCAAGAAGCATCCAGCACAAGCTACTCTGGGCAACAACTTAGAAGTTTCTTATAAAACAAACACACATCTGCCACACAACTCCATGGTTACTGTTTGCCCTAGAGAAACAAAAACTGATGTCCACACGAAAACCTCCACACTCCTACACCTGTAATTGCTAAAACCTGCAAACAACCAAAGACCTGCCCTTCAACAGGTGAAGATTAAACACACTCCGCGACGCGACTTGGCCATAGAAACCTGCCTGGCAATAAAAGACCAGGCACTACTGATACCCACAGCAATCGGTATGGGACCGCAGGCAGGATGTTTAATGAAGCTAGCCAATCTCAGGAGGTCACATACTGTAGGATTCCATCTATAGAACATTCTAAGCCAGGCACAGTGGTGCATGCCTGAATTCCCAATGATTCAGGAGGCTGAGGCCTGAGGATGGCAAGACCCTGCCTCAAAAT